TGCAGAAAAGACCCTGCTCCTAGCGGCCATCCCTAGGTCTCATTTTCTCCTGGAAAAAGACCAGTTCCCTATTCTGGCAAGATAATTAATGCCTTACAAAAGGCGCACGTGTCGCCCTGCATCATGTATTCAGCCTGTAAATTAAGCAATGTCAAGGTGTTTCCAGTGCAAATCTGTGCACCCTGGTGTGGGATGCCTGACGCTTAATTCCAGTTCCGTGGAGACTGGGTCCAGTTTACGCAGCTGGGAGAGATCACAACTTTGGGTATGATCAGGGGATGCTTTTCTGTAGCCAGATGCAGAGAGAAAAATCAGTCTTTGCTAACCCGCAGCTCAGACAGACTAGATACAATCTTTGAACATGGACTGTACGGACAGATACTTCCATGACGAAATAAAAAATGGAGACGGAAGCTTATCTTGCTGAATTGTCAAGGGAAGCTGGCTCCATATGCCAGAGGGGGAGCTCTGGTATGAAATGTGATAGTACTACCGAACATGAGAAACAGAGCGTGGAAAATGTGTTAGCTGGAGCTGTGAGACTGCACTCTTTAAGCACACTCGTTATTTGCATTTATCACACTTCCTCTATTTCTGACAGAGCCTTGCGAATGAGAAGCATCTTTTGGCTCTTATCCAAGTATTCTAAATTTTTCCTAAATGCAGGAGATCTAAAAAGGTGGAAATACATCTTTGAGTGGCCCACCCTAGGTTTGTATAGAAGGAACATGCAAACTTTTGGGTTTCACAGAGTTCTTTATCAGATCTCCTGAAAAGGGAAGCTGTGTAGTATGGAAATGTAGATGGTCTGATTAAGGATCCTACGAGAAGCAAAGTCATGTCATGCTCTGTAGGCTGCACCACCAGCCTACAGAAACTGGTAGCTTTCAGGCTCCCCAGCCTTCCGTCATTGCCCAGGAATTCTGTCCAGGCATTCGCAGAAGTGGGCAGACCCCTGCAGGGGATTTTGGCATGCATACAAGTCCCCCTTCATGTGTCCACGTGAGTGGACTTCGCAGGTTGAGCAGGAAGGTCTCTGAAGGACCTTGCAGGTGGATTGAGTGGAATGATCGCCTGTGTGGCCTGGCGGAGAGAGCATTGGACTGGGCGCCTGCGAGATCCGGGTTCTGGTCCCCACTCAGCCATGAAGCCCCCTGGGTGATTCTGGGCCAGTCATGGACTTTCAGCCTCACAGGGATAAAAAAGGGAGAGAAGGAGAACAATATAAGCTGCCTTGGGTTCCTTGCAAGAGGAAAAAAGGTGGGCTATAAATGAAATATAATACCAACAGCACTAACAAGAACAACATCAGTAACAATATCAAACAGCGCACGCTTGCAGAGTTTCTGTGATTAGAGTTCCTGAGAAAACAAGATCCGCAATCACGGAATCCCTGCAAACCAGGCAGGACTTGCATGTGGCCCCGCATCGTCCTACCGCTTTTCGCCCTATACGCGGCGTGAACAGGGCCAGTACCTGCCTTTCTATCTCATCCACCATTTTTATTTCTGCTTTTCGCCCCTTCTCTCCCCCTCCCGTGTCCCTTTCTCTCGCCCTTTCTGCTCACCGTTTCTCCTTCCTACCACACCTTTTCTGTTGGGATGAAGACAGATGTAAGGTCTGTAAGATGTAAAACCCAGCGGGCAATTCACCCACAATGTGAACCTGGTTCTGCAGACGGCTGAACCGCTTCACACTGCGGCTGGGTGGTTGCTGGGTGAGTTGTCCAGCAGGCTGTCGTGGACGAGGTAGGTGGTCCATCTTTTCTTTTTCAGTGGCTTATGCACATTGATTCATTTAGATGTCTGTCCTTCACTTTGCAAAACCAGAATGTATCATTTAACCCTATAGACATATCCTTAACCAGGAAAACTGCCAGGGGATGAGCCTCGGGGGCTGACCAGGAAGCACTGTCCACAGCTGGCCTTTCCTAATTTCAGAATGTTACATCTGTTTTCATTCTTTCTCCCCCTCTCTCCAAAAGATGTTAGTAGCTACTCGGTGCAGCCCCACCGTAGGTAAGATCAGGATGACCCAATGGTAGAGGGTGATATGCTGTTATATTTTCTTTTAAATGATTTGGAGAAAACTGGCAGTTTTATTTGCTCAAGCAGCGTCTGAGCATGTTTAGAAAACACACCCGAAGCTGGGAAGAGCTGGAAAAATACTTAGGGAGAAACTTAAGGAGCTACTAGTGCATTTTAGCTACTTAGCATTCATGATCCTCTCTTGTTCCTTCTGTAAAATGGGCAAGTGGCTAATTCCCAGGACGTGAGAGGGAGCATCTTCATTATCTTTGGATAAACCGTCTTCGGAACATTCGCATCCTGCTCTAACATCTCTCCCTTTACCTTCCCTTTCTCCTCCTCGATCTATTTCCCATGTCGCCGTCTCCCTCCACTTTCCTTGCAAGCTGCGGCTCTCACCTTCGTGCTCTTGTAACTGCTTTCTATAACAGATAATATTAACCCATTGTGGTGTGTGCACGTGCGCAATTGTGGGAGTTTGTACTGTTTTGCCTAGTCCATATTGTGAATGGTATTGTAGCTTGGAGGCATGATTCAGCCCTTCTGAGCTTGATGTGCCCCACAGGAGTTGGTCACTGGTGTTCCCTTTGCAAGGAGCAGTAAGCATATGGCAGTATTGTATTGTACATGCAATTGCAAGAAGAGCTGATAAAAATTAATTCTTCATGAGCAATGGGCAGAGTAAAACCAATGAAGGAGACACAAATTCTAGGACTTGATTGGTTTTGCATGCACAGACTTTCATTCTGGTGATGGTATGAATCCTTGTGCTTTCAAGGGCCCGATCCCATGCAAGTTTACAGAGAAAAACTGGGGCATGCTGGGAATTGTAGGCCTTTCTTCTCTCTAAATGTGCTAAGTATGTCCTTGCAAACAAGGGGTTGCCTCTTCTAGAAAGAGAGAGAATATTCTGTTGCCTGGGGTTTAGACATTAATTAAATAAAACAAATGAATATTACATTATCGCAGAATCCAAGTACATGGCCTAACCAATGGGGGTAGCTTGACTGGAGAAATTTCTTGCATAATTACCTAGTTCTCACTCCCCCCCCCCCCCATCTGTGAGTGATGCACTGACATTAATTCTAGTCCTTTTGGTGACTTTTCAGGTAATAAAGTTCAGCTTGGAAAAAGGGGTGCTTTCAAATCATCCTTCCAGCCAAATCACACACTAGTCACTGGGACTGTGGAATGCAAACTCTTGCTATGAGATTGTGGCTTGGAATCCTCACATCCCCTTTGCCATCCAAATGAACCTGCTCCAGTTCATTTCAGCCCTAGGAGAGATACGTATCTGCTAAAACGAACCTTGCCTAAGTGTGTCTCTCCGCTAGCACCTGGTAGAGGCAGTAAGCCAGTCCCCGATGGTGTGTTTCTTGTGTTATGGATGAGGTGCTTCATCCTTCAAGAATTCACCTCCAAACCATCTCTCCCCTTTTGGATCCAGAGCATCTCAGCAGGCAAGCACTTCAGTGGCTCTTTTCAAATTTGCAGCCAGTTGAAGACCAAAGCAACCCCAAATGCCCCTTGCTTTTTGGAAAGAAATGTATGCAGATGAACTGACACTGGGCTCATCTTTCCCAATTTTGCCTCGCATTTGGATGTCTTTGAACTGCCTTGCCTGGAACGCAGTCCAGGGTATATTCTGTTTGCAAAGTGCCAAAGAGGGAGAATGAACCGCCATCTTTCTGCAGCCTAGTGACAACTCATGGAGCCTAGAATGAAAGAGAGAACTTCAGGCTTAGCAACCACCACCATGCAAAGCCTCCAGAGTTCAGGATTTCTCCTTCCAGGGCAGGGGTCTTTGACCCTTTTGTTGCAAACTTTGAAGATGGCAGCTGTCGGCTTCCTTCTTAGGGTTGGGGTGACGGCAGGGCATCCTGACCTCTTCAAAGAATGGAAGCTCAGTCTGACTTTAGATGTCAGATCGTTGAGAGTGGGGATCTTAGAGTGCCCTTTGAGAGTTTCCACTGGAACAGTTAACTGCATCTTTTCCAAGCCACTGAATCACACTAAAGGTATTGCAGCACCCCCAAATTTCCTAGCAGTTTAAAAAAGTTTCATTGCATCCTCTTTCCACCAAGGTTCTTCATTTAATCACTGAAGCTTTGCTGTCAGCCTTGACTTCCAAGAAAGATCTCTTTCTCTCTCTCATTAATATTTCTCGGTCACCTTTGGGGGGGGGGATTCCTCCCAATGTGGCTTACAAAATACACAGGCCTCTAGTTTTATAAGAACAAACATCTGAACTGTAACTCCAACAACAACAAGAGACACACAAACAAGGAGGTGTCCAGGGCTTTCCTGAAAGCCCACAGTGCAACCCATTCCAGATGTGTGAGGCCACTGCGACGAGGCCCTCTCTTGTCTCGCTGCCTTCACAGGTGGCCAAGAGAGAAGGGCCTCTGTCGCTGTTCAAAATGCCTGGGAAGGGTGAGGGGTGGGGGGTGATGGTCCTTCTGAATAAGTTGATTCAGAATTAATTATAATTCTGAATAAGGCTTTAAAGATCCAAAACTGCACTTTGAAGGACATGGATGGAGCTACACAGGCCAGATGGAACTCCTACAATAAAATGCTGTGTGAAGTGAGGACAGGGTGGAAAGCTTTACTGTCAGCCTTGATCTCCAAGTGACAGCAGTGTGAGCTGCTGGTGCATGTTCAGCATGAGGGAAAGCATTTGCAGTAATCTTCCTCCTTCCAGGAGTTAAGGTTGAAAGAACAGGGGCAGCACCCTTTCCCCCCACTCTCCTGATCTTTTTGCTTCCTCACCCATGTTTGGAAGCTCCAGGAAATTGCATAAACTATTAAGACACGTTCCTGCCTTTCGATTTTTGCGACCCGTGGTACAGGCAGAAAGGCAGGGGAGGGAAGCGGTTTGCAGGATGGGAAGCTGCTGTGCCTTGCCTGCCTCTTTCTCTCTCTTCCTGAATGTGATCTTTCCCTCTCTCGTTTCTCCTGCCTCCAATTTAGACTCATTCCTCCCCTGAACCAGCTGGAGCTTCTGAGGAACCTGAAGAGCAAATCTGGATTAACTTTCAGGTTAGTAATATTGATACAAGGCTTGAAAGAAAATGAAAGAAGTGTCTGTGGTGCCAAACTGGCAATTTACTGAATTAAATAACAGGTTTTTTTCAAGGATTATATGGTTTGATGCTTCAGCATTCCTGGAGCAGCATTCCAGACAGAACGCTTGTTGAAATATAGAAGATACACTGATAACATGCTTTAGGGATTTTTATTTGATATAATGTCCTGTCCATGGAGCATCACTTGGAGGTTCCATTCTCCTTGCTTTGTAAAATATTTTGGTTTTTGCATGGGCTGATTTTCCGGCATTATGTCCCATATATGACCAGCCCTCCCAGCCCTCTCTCTCTTGGGGAGGAAGAGGATTCACACTAGAAGTGATGATGCCCTTGGTGGACGATTCCTGATTTCCATTCACAAAGCAATTAATGCAGATTGTGATGCCTGTGATATGTGTAAGCCACAACATCATCCAGCTAATCTGGTCAATAAAGTGATGCGTTTTCCTATTCTCCCACATGACTTGGTTGGAAGAGAAATTTCTCAGTTCATAGAATCATAGAATAGTAGAATGAACTGATTCTGAAAAAGATCTTGGACTGGGTGGAAATGGACAGATTGACTTTGTCTCTGAAGGAGAAAGAAGATACAGTTTTCTGTCAAACTTGGGACTCTTTTTATCATTGGCTAGAGAAACGGGACTATGCATAGACTTAAATATGTTTATAGTTTAACATAAAAAGAAAAAATGTGGAGGGCTGACCCAGTAGGTCTGATGTTTTCGATGATTGATACTTTTTAGGGGTTTTTTTGTTAGGTATATATTAAGAATAAAACTTAATCAAAATAAAATAAAATAGAATAGTAGAGTTGGAAGGGGCCGTGAGGGTCATCAGGTCCAACCCCCTGCTGTCGCAGGATGCCAATTTACACCATTGCAAGTGCACCACACACACATTCAGACAAGAATTAAAGGGAACTGTTTTCTCCCTGTGATGAAGTTCCATCCCTGTATGAGAGTTACAGGAAACTTGTCCCTTTGTCTTGCTTCAAGCCTGGGATGTGGGGAACGAGGGTTAGTAGAGATAGGACATTGACTTGCTTCAAAGCTTTGCAAGTCCTCTCGTGTGCATAGCTTGCGACGAATATGGCTTTCGCAGGCTCTGAGACAGGGATGGACCACCATTCAGTGCGGGTGCAGGCATGGGCCCCTCCCTAGCACTGCAGCAAATGCAGAAGCGCACACGAGTCCTTTGCTCACTTGCGGGAGCATCTCCGTGCCCACGGAGTCCTTAGATCAGGGCGGCTGCATCACACCCCTTTGTAACGATAGTGAGATAGATACTGCCTTGGCAGTAGCTGCGTCTCAGCTGGCCCAGCCTTTTTATGATTCTAAATCAGGGCAGGCCTGCTACGTGTGAAGGGAGAACGCTAGATCTTCAGTCTGTTACGGTTGCACATTTGATAATGTTTAATGTATTTGCTCTTTTAAAAACAAAGGTTTATCTAAGATGGTAAGCTGCCTGGAGTGCTGTCATGCTGGTGAAAAGCAGGGTGCAAATCAGATATTGTTAAATAAGAAGCAGCCAAGCTCCATGGTCCTAATAATAATAATAATAAAATAATAATATAATAATTTGAAAAGCGCTCTAGCTTTAACTTGACCTTGTCTTGTGAGGCTTCTTGGTGCACCTGCTAAACTTCCTCTAGGTAGCCTTACAGCCTCCTGCCTTGTCATTGTGTTTTGTTTGGCCCTGTCTTTCTTGTCTTTAACTGTCTGTGTAGGGCCCGTTTTTCACCTGACTCCATTGCTAATGTACTTTTGCTTCTGTTTAAGGAAAGAGCAGCAGCCCGAGCCATCTCCAAGGTCTGTATGTTTTCAGAGAGTCCATTCTCATGCATTCTCACATTTCTCTCTCTCTTTCTCTCTAAGTTTGTGTTCCTGTGTGTCATGCGTGTGATGCTCGTGGCGACAAGGAGCTGAGAGCCATTCAAATAAACATTGTAAATCTTCGACTTGCTCCTCCCACGCTGTGAGACCTGTGTCCGCATGCCTTGTACATACCTGTAATGGTGGTCCTTGGATCATGTTTTCCTTCTTTCCAATGGCAGTGCGCCATCTAACTGAGTGGAGTCTCTGGGGCAGAGGCTGCGGCAGCATCAAAACCAAGGCTGAGATGTGGCATTTGTATTCTCAGAAATGGATTGGAAGGCCTGGGTCGTAAATGCCCCAGGAAGCGTTGGGATCTCTCCGCCTGGAACGCGGGAGGGGCTTCTGCCGTTTTACGTGGCCCTTTTCCAGTGTGCGCTTCCCAAATTGCGGGTGTGGAGTGATAAAGAGGTGGTGGTCATTCTTCGCATACCCTTCTTCCCTCACCTGTACTTCTGCCTTTCTTTTGGTTCCGGTAGCAATGAAAGAAAGGAGATTCACAAACCCACCAACATTTGTCACACATCATTGTTTTATAGCAAGTAGGTCCTCACAGTGAGGCAGACAGCAGATGGTGTACCAGGCCCGGCTAGTGCTCCTCCCTAAATAGTTATGGAAATCTGAAGTGCACAGTGCACATTGCCCAGGCACAGTATCAAGTTCTGACGTGGTAAGTTGGTGTCCATCGGAGCACTGCAGAGCAGTCATGGAGCTGAGGTTCTGAAGCTTCTGAGGTTCTGAAGGCTCTGAAGGTTCTGAAGCTTTTGAGGTTCTGAAGGCTCTGAAGGCTCTGAAGCTTCTGAAGCTTCTGAGGTTCTGAAGGTTCTGAAGCTTTTGAGGTTCTGAATCTTCTGAAGTCCTTAAGGTCTGAAGGTTCTGAAGCTTCTGAGGTTCTGAAGGCTCTGAAGGCTCTGAAGGTTCTGAAGCTTCTGAGGTTCTGAAGGACTGAAGGTTCTGAAGCTTCTGAGGTTCTGAAGCTTTGAAGGTTCTGAAGCCTTTGAGGTTCTGAAGTTTTTGAGGCTCTGAAGGCTCTGAAGGTTCTGAAGCTTCTGAGGTTCTGAAGCTTCTGAGGTTCTGAAGGCTCTGAAGCTTCTGAGGTTCTGAAGGCTCTGAAGCTTCTGAGGTTCTGAAGCTTCTGAGGTTCTGAAGGTTCGGAAGGTTCTGAAGCTTCTGAGGTTCTGAAGGTCTGAAGGTTCTGAAGCTTCTGATGTCTTCAGCCAGACCTAGTCCTGGAGCATCTGTTAGTGTTGGCAGGTTAACTGCTGCTCACATATCTCTTGCACCAGCGGCGTATGGAAAAAGCACACCTCTGGACTGCCCGCCCGCTAGCAACCCTCTGGGCCTTGCACAAGGCAAAGTCAGTGCGACAGGCAGGAGTTTTCTGCTTGGCAGGTTCAGTTGCTGTGACGTCGTGCATTGCAACGCATGTTGATTTATAGGTTCTGGGAGGATCTAATACTGCAGAGATGGATATGTTTTGCACTGTAGCATGATGACATTGCCATATGCAAAATTTATTGATTTATTTATTTATACAATTTGTATGCTGTCCAATTACTTGCGTCTCTGGCCGGCTTACAACATAGGTAATTTGACAACCCACTCTGGCTGCAAGTTAATAAAATGCAACAATAAAATTCAATATTAAAATATATTAAAATATTGATTAAGTAAAAAGGTCTTAACCTGGCGCCAAAAAACATATAATGACAGTGCCAGGCGGGCCTCTTTGGGGAGCGCGTTCCATAGTCGGGGCGCCACCGCAGAGAAGGCCCTCCTCCGGGTCCTCTGTCTCCTAACGTCTTTCACAGAGGGCTCCCGGAGGAGGGCTTCTGTTGCCAATCTCAAGGGGCGGGAGGGCAAATAGGGAAAAAATGGCTCTCCCAAGAGTTCTGCAGATGTGGTCAGCTGCAACATTTCCAAAATCCACAGATTTCTTGAAATAGGTTCCCGATCTGATTCTAAGGAAAGGAAGTCCGTATTCTGCCAGTGATGCAGGGAGAGGGCCAGCTGTGTTCCTGCCGGACTGAGTAGTGACAGGCGCACTGAGGTTCAGCTTCTGGGATGTACTGCACCTTGGGATGCATCTGGGATGTATCTCACTTTTCAGGCTTTCTATCAACTTTGCATTAGGGGCGAGGGAACATTGGCCCTCCATGAGCTTTTCCCACCTTCACCCTGTCTAATAGGAAGGAGGAAGGCTTCATTTTGGCTGGATATTGAGGATGGCTCCTTTGGGCCTGGCTGCAACTTCTCGTTCTCCACCCTGCGAGTTGTGGGAGAGAGAAAGAGGGACCACCTCCAGCACAGCTCTTCTCTGCCTTGGGATTGGGGTCTGCTCCTCAACAGCTCCAGCCTTGCCCACCCCGATCTGCAGCCCCCTCTTCTGCGAGGTTTCTTCCGAGGGGATGTGGCTCGACATAAAAAGTTCCCCGCCCTTCTGTAAAGTTTCCAGTGTTGCTCGGAAGGTTTGTTGAACCAGAACGGCACATTTCCCTCCGACATGGTGGTGTTACGGGCCACCTTTTAACTTTGGCTTAGGAGAAGACCGATGGTTTTTGATCACAACCACTTTCGGGGTCTTAACTGTGTTTGTAGAACTGCTAGGAAATCATTGTTTTAGGGATACCAGTGGGTGGACCTGACGCCTCTGCGTCCCCAGGAACACTTGTCAAGCGAATGCAAGCTGTCCGTGTGCTCAGAGCGTTGTCTTTGCTGGCTGCCGTGTGCAGCGTGAGGGACTCTGGACACAAGGACGGGGCATTTCTCTTGCCAGGAATGACTGGCGAATCTGGGAGCAGTGGCTGGGCCTGCCCTGCAGCTCTTGTCCTTCGGCCTGGCGATAGAACTCTCTGACACTGGCAGATCATGTAGTGCTTTCGTGGGAATGCTGGCAAGGTGACTCTGCACATCCAGATGCAGGGCAGGAACGGTCATTCTTTAATAAATGGGCGTACGGACTTTCCTCCAAAGGCATATATGGTTAGTAGAGAACTTCCTGGCCAGTTGGAGAGTTGGACCTGGGTCTGCCCAGCATCACTTGGCATTTGAACCACTGCAATACATTGATCGTCTTCATGTAAATGCATCAACATCTATGGGTCTCCTCATATTCCAGGAACAATGGCTGTGCAAAGGAGGAGGGGTTCTTGAGGACGGTAGTGGTTAGGACGAGCTGGACGCAGCCCCACCCCGAAGCGCTGAGCTTTGAGCACAAAAATGCAGCAAGGGCCACCTTAGAGTACCAGTGTGAGCTGGGAGCCCTACTGAGACTTGGCAAAGCCCACAAGCTGAGCTCTGAGCTGGAGGAGCCTCTCCTTGGTGCTGAATGGCCTATAAGAACCCTTCCAGCAGGATCGCCTCTGCAGCTGAGGAAAAGGCCACGGAAGTCACGGATCCTGCCTGGAAAGAGTTTCTCTCCCTCCCTCCCACTAGACTGGACCTCAGCAAGGTCATCCAATAACCTGAATGGTGGGAGATTTAGGACAGAGAGAAAGACGTCCTTCTCTACATGGAGGTGTTCTGTCCAGCGTGGCTCTTTTATGCTGGGACTGCCGTGGATTTTTGCTCGTTGACCAAGGTGGGTGCTTCTTTTTGAGCACCCTCCTGGCCTGAGAAGCGCTTGGCCTCGGGATCCTTGGAAATGGAAGGCTCTGTTTCCCTGGTCAGTGCGGAAAAGTTTCTCACTGGCTCTGGCTCGCCTCTGCCAGCAGGCCTCATGCTCCCCCTCCCATGTAACCCGGATAGAAATCAGGAATTCTGGCCCCAGCAGAGACAGTGCACCCGATTTCTTCTCTGTTTCTAGGGTCTCGTTCAGCTGGGATCAAATAGAAGAGAGGAGCGATTGACCTCGTGACATGACGCCCCATCATGAGCAGCCAAACACAGCCAGTTGCCATGGTTAGGTTTGCAAACAAGCCACCCTGACAAATCATGATTTGTTTTTTAGGGGTTGTTTGTAGCTGATGGGTTGCCTTGTCACCTGAACCTGGGAAAGCAATTTTATGGTATGTTCAAAAGCGGGCAGGAGCACGTGTGGTCTTGTCTACCCAATTTCCTTATATATTTCCGCTGTTCGAAGGAGCAAAGGGTCAGGCTAAGGAAGGAAAGTGGAGAGACAAGACTGGATATGGCTAAGTTGCACACAGTTGGTGAGGACCAGGGCCATGGGGATGGATAACACCAAGGGAAAGGAGGAACCCGTGGGAAAGCACCAAAGCCTCAGGACGTGCACCAGAAACGGGGTGAAGAGAGGGGAGCAGTACCTCCTGCTTAGCAGCGCAATTCCCTCAGTTTTGATGGCTGAACTGACATCTTTTAGTGTCCTCCACCTTTTCAACACTCATCTTCCCGCCTGTACTAGCAGGGGGAAGGAGTAACACCCACCCCTTTTGGGAAGACCTTAGCTGCAGGTATTTCAGCTGCCCTTGTTCTTAAATAAACCTGGAAAAGGTAGAATGGGAATCAGTCACAGGCAGCGTGGGGCGATGTAAGTCATGCTCCATTCCACCCTGCCACCTCTAAGGATTTAAAAAAGAAACCTGCTGGCAGCACTTGTGCCATTCTTTGCTTCTGGAAAATATACACACTTGCAATGGCTGAGAAGTAAATGGGGAGGGGAGGAAGTTTGCACATCAGCATTAAAATGCCCCATTACTGCAGGTGCCCAAATTCCCTCCGTTTTCTTGCAAGCCCTTAAATTCATGCAAATGTTGGCAAGATTTCGTTCTCAGCCAGGAGCATGACGTGCATTTCTCTTCCATTTACTTTCCAGTCCTCAAAATGTGCAGATATTCCTGCTGGTTCTTTTAAAAATCTTAGATTTTAAAAATAATCTTTATTGATTATTTATTGTATTACGTATTGTTTATTGGGGACTGCAGGTGGTGCAGTGGGGATTGATTTATTGAGATTTGTATTATTTATATTGATATTTT